AATGAGATGGGGCTTTGTGAGCACCTGTACCCGAGTGTCAGCAGGGGGCAATTTTTATAGCACTGATAAAGTGCAATTTTCCAACATACAGGTTGGCTGGCAGGGGTGGGAGGCTGAGGGAGGGCTCAAGCACCAGCCCCAGGGAGGGTAACGAAGTTGTTCATAGAATCCCAGAACAGTTTGGTTTGAAATAGACCTTAAAGCTCATCCAGTGCCACCCCTTGCCATGGCAGGGACACCTCCCACCAGCCCAGGTTTCTCCAAGCCCTGTCCAACCTGACCTTGGACACTTCCAGGGATGGGGCAGCCACAGCTTCTTTGGGCAGTGTGGGTGCCCTGAAAGCTCCTCCCTGCCCACAGCAGCCACCCATGCCCCACGCAGTCCTTGTCTCTCCCCACAGCCCGTGCCCCACACCCACCCTCCCTCTCTCCCCACAGCCCGTGCCCCACACTCACCATCCCTCTCTCCCCACAGCGGGCTCTCAGTGATGTGCAGGTGGGCGAGAGCCAGCGCAGCCCCAGGATGACCTCTCCCCTCGCCTGGTGAGGGACCCGAGCTGCAACAGTTCATTGCCAACAAAGTGCAATTTGCTCCTGTCGAGTTTGGTTGTAAATACGCTGCTGCCACCTGCCCCCACCCCGCAGAGCCACGGACGGAGGGGTCGGGGCAGGAGGACACTGAGCAGGCACTGCAGGTGACAGTGGGTGATGTAAGGGTGAGGCACAGGGACACGAGGGTAAACACTGCACTGGGCTTGAGGACAGCTCTTCCAGCACCCTCCATTTCCAGTGGATTACTGAGCCAAGGATTTCAGACCCATCTCCCTCTCTCGAGTTTCCAGAACGAGAGAGCTTCCCCACATCCCCACGGCCCGAGCACGGGGGTCTTCCCAGTCTCTCCCCCCAGCCCCGGGGCCGGGGTTAAAGCCCAGCCACAGAGTCCCTGTGAAGCCAGAGCAGGGCAGGCAGGGAAGGGGGTGTGGGGAGATGAGGAGAAGGGGTGCCACCAGTGCCTGCTGCCCTGGGACCCTGCACAGCAATACTGCTGAGCTCCTCTGCAGTGCCTCTCCAATCCTGTCTGCCCTGCAGCAGAGCACCTGGGGCTGGAGCTCCACCTGAGCACACTTAACAGTGGAGCAGACATCACTGGAGGTGGCCTGGAGGCTTTAATCCCTGCCATTGCCAGCTAGTGGCAATGGAAAGCAATAGGACCTTGCAGAACCCTCCTGACGTGTCCATGTGGTCCCAAGTATGGATCTGGTCTAATCCTACCCAGCTTCATCCCACCCATCAGCTTTGCTTAAAGCTGTACTAGAGGCTGATGGATCTTGAAAGCTTCTCAAGAGTTTAACACCATCAGCACAAGGCTTATTGGAACTCGCCAGCAGCCAGAAATCCCTGAGTGTTTTGGTGCCTCCTTGGAAAGCACAGAACCCCTGGTAACCTGAAAATGAGTGGGAGTCCTCTGCAGCCCCAAGTGCCTCTCCAAGGCACAGCAGAGACAGCAGGAAATGCTTCCCTGCCCTCCTCCAGTCACTCCCAAGGGCTGGAGTGCTGAGTCCCTTTCCTGTTCACGGTGACTGTCCCAGGGAACTCCAGAAGTGAGCACGTCCATCTTCGGTGTTCATGTCCTCTCAAGACGCGTGTCCATCTCTCACCGAGGTCTGGTTGTCACTGAATCGCCGTGTGCTGTCCCCTGGGCTGGAAGGGGGGCAGTGTCCCCTGGCCAGGGCGTGCACCTGAGGGTGACAGGGTGCCCGGAGCCGCTGGCAGCAGACGCGCAGCGCGTTGCTGTGGTGAGACATCACCCTGTGCAAAATGCACCCATTGCCTTCCAACCCCGTCCCGCTCCCACATCCCGCCCCGTGGAAGCGCCCCAGCAAAGCACAGCGCAGGGACCCCTCCTGCCACCCATTGCCAGAGCAAGGGCTCGTCCTGCAGCCTCCGCAGGGACACAACCACCAACCGGTGCATTATTTACGGGAGACCTTACGGCCGTCGAATCTCCGCGTTTGGGTAAATTTTTAAACCCTGCTGTAGAAAGTGAAGTATATTTTCACAAGTGTTCTCCGTTTATACAGCTTTAAGTGCCAGGTAGTGTGTAGCCTTGTGTTCCCAGAGGTGCAGACCTGTCCCTGCCCCGACGGCAGTGACAAGGCCACGCTCCCTCTGCTCCATTTTCCCTCTTGGATGTTGCACACTGCATTCCAGTGATTTTTTTTTTCTTTTCTTTCCTTTCCTTTCCCTTTCTTTTCTTTTATTTATTTATTTTTTAATTTAAATATACCCATTGTTTAAACCACCAGAGGTTCTTTTGAAGCTGTCATGACAGAAAATGCTGTACATAGATTTTGCTACATGTTGTAACTTTCCGAGATAGTTAGAACTCCAACCCCTTTGGTATTTTTATGTGAATATTTTCAAAGAACCAGAACTTCTGGTTATATGATTTGATAACAGGACTCTGTATATTCACAATTCAGTCTCAACCCAATGCCTACGTGCTATTCCTAAAATAAAGCTACTGCCTTCTGCCTCCTGACCTTATGGGCCTCTGTCTTCTGTCCAAAATTGCTGCCATGGTGGTGGGAGGAATTCTGCATCTGGCACTTCTGTTAACATTGGCCCTTTACAGCTGCAGAAGAGAGACACAGGGGCTCACCTGCCTGGGCTGGGGCTGGTATGGGGAGAGTCACTGCCTAAAGGGCCTCAGCATCCAGGCTGGTGGGATCAATAAGAGCAGCAAATTCTTAAAATAGTATGGATTTTTTCCTCCAGCCTTCAGAAGAAAACATTTAGTGAGCGTAAGAGCCAGTGAATTGTTTCCCCCTGAAAAGGCATTCTTGGCTGAGGTTGAGTTTATGTCCCAGGGGCCATTTATCTCCCTTGACACTAACAGCAGATAGATAGGGACCAGCTCCATATCAGATGTTCTGGTTGTAGATTAGCTGGTTTACAGCAGCCTGCTCGATCCCTGGGTGCTCCCCAGGGGCTGGAACATGGCCCTGTGCAGAGTTATCCCAAACAGCCCTTGCTGAGCACATGCATCTCCTTCCCATCTGCACACAATCCTGACTGACGTGCTCCAGGGGAGCAGGGAGGTTGGATTAGGTGACCTCCTGTGGTCCCTTCCAGCCTGAACCATCCCTTGATTCTGTTTGAAGTGCTCAAATCCCTCCTGATGTTTCCTCTGCCCTCCTGGCTGATCCCACCTGGCTCTGCTGCAGCCCCAGGACCCTGAGCTGCCCAGTGTGGCTGTCACACCTCCCACTGCCCGGGCTGAGCCCATAAACCACCCCAGGAGTGATGTCCCAGAGCCTGCACTGCGCTGTGTCCCACAACAGCCTCATCATTCCCTGCACGCTCCCATTTTGCTGGTTTGGGTAACTCAGACATGAGGTAATTCCTCCCCGGCACTGGCACTGGCCAGGCACTCTCCTTGGAGCCTCAGCCCAGCCTGAACAGAATTCCTGCGTCAGCCCTGATCACGGGATCATCCTCACAGGAAAGCCTGTCCTTGGAAAGGAAATCACAACTTGGGCAGCAGCCGGGAGTGCTCCACGGGTGCCACTTCCATCCTCCCACACAGACCAGGAAACACTGACCCTGAAAATCCCAAATGCTGGATTATTTAAGGCTTTTCACTCTTTCCTGCAAGAGAGGTGAAAAAGACCTCGAAGAGGAAATGATAAGCTTGAGTAAGTCACAGTGAAAACGGGATCACGGCTGGGATTCCAGACTGGCACCTCCATGGCAAAGTGGAATCACATTCGAGCCCTCCCTCTCAGTATCTGGATAATGGTTTGAGTGGTCACAATCTCTAATTATTTTCCAGGTGCCAAGAAAAATGCCAAAGAGACAAACAGAGATCTCAGCTTCAGGCTGGAAGGACTGGAGGTCAGGAAAAAGTGGCACAGATTGGGAGGCAGCATTTGTAGCCCTTGAGGATCCACCTTGTTCTAACATGACTTAGGAAAATCTGGGGTTTTCAAATTGTAGCAGATTAAATGAAAGCATTTCCAATTGAAGGATTCAAAGACCTTGTCACATTTGTCAGAACTGTGGGTGGGAAACATGAGATGAAATACGGATACTGGGATTTTCATGGAGGCATTGAATCCCAAAATGGTTTGGGTGGGAAAGAACCTTGAAAATCATCCAGTTCAACCATCCTGCCATGGGCAGGAACACCTTCCCACTAGCCCAGGTTGCTCCAAGCCCCATCCAATCTGGCCTTGGACACTCCCAGGGATGGGGCAGCCACAGCTTCTCTGGGCACCCTGTGCCAGGGCCTGCCCACCCTCACAGGGAAGGATTTCTTCACACCTAACCGTGCCACTCTCAGGTCAAAACATGGTCTTAGGGGGGTCACCTACAGCAAAATTCCTGTTGGTAACTCCACTGTTGGGACATGGATTAGGTTTGTGTGAGGACAGTGCCCATATTCCATCTGCCCTCCCAGCTCATGCCTTACCTGCCCAGCACGGAGCTTCTCAGTGGTGCTGCCTGGGGCTCCACACACCCCAGTCCAGGGATTTGTGAGCTCCCTCCTGCCATGGTCTCTCACCGTGCTGCAAGGTCCCTCTTTAGCATCACTCTTGGTGTGTTTTGGCCCTAATGGTTTATCAGGGTCTTCAAACAGATGATGCTGAAGACAAATCTCCAGCCTGGCCCAGAGGGGGATTCGATTCTGGGATTAACCTACAGCCTGAGCAGTGCGTTACAAATCCCAGCCCAGATGGATCCTGCCCTTTGTAAGGCTCAGGCATAAACACAGGGACAGGACTAGCTGTCAGCTCCTCCCTGTGCCACGGGCTGTCAGCTCCAGAGGACATCAGCACGGATTTTTTATTGTTCTGTGTCCCTTCTGTAGCTGCACAGATTGCTTAAGAGAATGGCACTCCGTGGAGTTTGACCCGGGAGCCCTGATAGTGAAAATAATACACTTCTCACCAGAGCCACGGGAGACCAAAAGAGTAACTTCGGTCAATTAGTTTAACTTTGACTATAAATATTCCTTCTCATTCCTTGTGACCCTGTTAACAGCTCCGCTGGCAAACCCCGATTCTCTGGCAATATTTAAGCTGCCTGTCAGTTGGCAGAGCCTTGGTGGTGCCCGGCGCGGGGAGCAGAATAAGACCCAGCTGAGCACAGTAAGTTTCCTTTCGGCTTCTACCTCGAGTCGGGGAGCTCCGGTGGGGTTCGGGGCTGGTGCTGGGCTGCTCTCGGCCTGGGTGAGCAGCGGTGTCTGTAGGAGGTGGATGGACCTGGGAATGCTTTAGAAAATCTGTTGAGGAGGCATTTAGAGCGATACGGCGCCGACGGGTTCCTCGAGAGCCACGTGGGCTGCGTCCCCCCGGCACCGTCGATAAAGGGCAGCTTCAGCGGCTTCATTTCAATGCCACGGATGTTCCTTCCTCACAATCTCTGGCGAGGAAAGCGCCGCCGCCTGTGCCAGGCACCGAGGGAGACCAGGCTGTGAGCTGAATTCACAAAGCGGGCAAAATTTCCACTGGGCCGTGGCAGAGTTGGGACCTGGAATCGGAGCAGCCGCCTCTGCTGTTTTCCTACCAGCAGGCTCTGTGCTGGCTCGGGAGCGCAGGAGGAGTTTAACAGGCACCTGTGCTCGGCCCCGGGAATCTCCCCTGGAGCGCATCCCAGCTCTCCGTGTTTACTGACGGGCATGACAGACACCTGCACAGCTCTGCCCTGCTCAGCACAGGTTTGGGAGGGAGCAGCCACGGCTCTGTCCCACCCGTGTGGCTGAACCCGAGTGAGAGCGAGCGTGTGTAGCTGTAGCACTGGCTGCCCCTCCAGTGAGACCCAGGGTTGGACTTGGATGACCCTTGTGGGTCCTTTCCATGACTCTGCCATTCTGTGGCCTCCTGAAACAGCAGTATCAGAGGGAAAGTCGGAGGTGTCGGAGTGGGGTGAGCAACTTCCCCAGGCTGACATACCAAACCCTGTTTTTCTTTTCCTAGTTAGATGTTAAGCATGCCAGTAAAAACTCGGCAGCAGCCAAGACACATTGGCTCTTAAAGAGGTAAGATAGCACTGACCTGGTCATCAGTGCTCTGCATCCTTGCCAGGCAGAAGCTCCCAAGGAATTCAGTGGGATCCAGGGGGTTTATAAGGCACAGAAAAGGCTCTGCTGAGGTGCTGTGAGTCCCTGGACCCAGCCTGGTGCTGCCACTGCTGGTCTCCACCAGACCATGGCTCTTGACCAGAACACGGCTCTCTACCAGCACATGGCTCTACCAGCTCTGGCTCTCGTGCTGGAGGCTGCTGATGCCTCAGGATACGAGCCCCAGCTGCGAGAAGTGTGTGATGGGTTGTACCTGCTCCTTATTTATTGTCTGACGTTCGGTAAATGGGTGAGCCCAGCGGTGCTGCTCCAGGCACTGCCCGGGTGGCAGGATGGGGTGTAGAGAGGATGCAGGGCAGGACTGGCAGGACTGAGCACTGCCAACACCTCCATCACACGGCCCCTGCCGCTCAGTCCCCCTCTGGTTCACCCTCCCGGGCAGCCGGTGTGGCAGGAGCTCAGCTGGTCACGCTCTGGGCAGGCCCTCGGGCCTCAGGGGAGCTGAGGGAGGTTCAGCTGCACCTCAGCAGCGGGTGCAGCCAGCGCAGTTGTGGCACACGTGGCTGTGGGACAGGCAGCTGTCCTGGTGAGGGCTGAGCTCCGCCGGCACTCAGAGGCAGAACTCGTTTGGCCGCTCGTCCCACCACCCACGCCGGGCGCCCCGGGCTGCTGCAGGCCACCCCTTGCCCCACCTTCGTCAGCTTTTTGCCAGGGGGACGCTTATAAGTGTCTCCTTACACGTGCAAGAGAGGCCTAGGGACACGGCCAGCCGGGCAGGACAGGGACCAGCAGACCCCCAGCACAGCCGTGCTGGTGACACCGGGGCTGGGGCCAGGGCTGAGCCGGCGCGAGGCAGTGCCAGGGCTGGTGAGTGCTGGTTCTACTCCTCTTTGGAGGAACCATCTCCTCGGCTCAGCAGGGTAAGAGGAATAATCCCAAACCTGCTCTGTGTGGCACTGAGGGTTCTCTGGGGACTGACAGCAGCCACTGCCAAGCCAGGGACTGTCTGAGGTGGCCCTGGCTGCCACTTGCCCCCTGTCCTGCTCTCAAGGTGTGGCTGAGCCGAGCTGAGGGAGGAGGAAGCTGCTGGAGCAGTTCATGTGCCTTCACATCCCAGGGCTGGTTGCCAACAGCTTCACACCAATGGCTCGTCACAGGCACAGCTCTGGCAGCAGCTGCTCCCTGAGGCCAGTCCTGCAGCACTGCAGCAGTGGGACCCTCAGGTTCTCATCACCAGCTCTGCCACACCCCACTCCTTTCCTCCTCATACTTCAGCTATTTCTACCTTCTCTCTAATGCACCTATTTCTCCTCAGTTAGAAAATTGCATAAGAAATCCCACCAAGTCATGCTGTCCTGTCTGCTGGCAGCATCTCCGCATCACAGAAAGGGGGAAGTCAAGTGGCAGAGACAAGGTCCTTCCCCACAGCTCTGGCATGAGCAGCTGGAGCCAGAGCCGAGAACCCCGAATTCCCGAAGGAACAGTCACCACCTTCCCTGGGCTGCCACATCCTCCTCTGAGCATGTCACCCGTTCTTGAACAGATTGACGCACCAGGACCAGGAGAGCTCAGCCTGCCCAGGAAGCCATGGAGCCCACGAGCGTCCCCCCGGCCTCTGTGACCCCCTCGTGGGACGCGTTTCCCCAGCAGACGCTGGAGCCCATCGACATCGCTGTCCTCGTGCTGTACTTCCTCTTCGTCCTCGCCGTCGGGCTGTGGGTAAGCAAACACTGTTAAAACCTTCCTGTGTGCCTCATTGTGCTGAAACAGAGGGCTGGCTTGGCCTCAAATTATTTTACTTTGGCTGGAACCAGGCTTCACTTCACCGGATTCAACCGAGCAGTGCAAAGAGGGGGTTTACAGGTCCTGCTCCTCACCTCGGCCTGGGGAAGTGTCCTGACTGCTCCACTGGAGAGCTGCTCAGCCCAGTGCTTGCCAAGGTTTTGAGAACCCTCATGAGGAAGAGGCTGTCTGAGTACACAGTATTGCTAATAATAATGTTTTGTTCATCCAGGAAGGAACTGCTGTGCTATAAATCACCTGTGCTTGTCCACAGGGGTCCCGACAGCAGATTCCATAAATTAAAAACGCTGTCTGTGTATAATTAAGGCAGAAGGACATCCTTTGGCATGGCTTTTGTAACAGTAAGAGCACAATCTGGCTGTCAGGAGGCAGAGATGAATAACTGCTCCCTTCCCATGTGGTGCATAACTCTCAGGGTATCTCACAAATCTGTCCGAGGAAGAGGAGTCCATGGGTCACACATTCCATGTCAGGCATTCCTCCTCCACAGTTCTTGTCTGAAATTATTTGCCTTCCTTTCTGGTATGGAGGGACTTATTTTGCTTATCACAGAAAACATTCAACCAGGATGCTGAGATGATGGAAAAGTTTGTGTGTGGCTCAGGGCACTGGTTGGTCCCAGCCCTCCTCCCCCAGGATTTCCCAGCAGCAACTGTCCTTCAGGAAACCCTTCACTCCCATCTGATGACAGTTCAGAGTCTCCTGCTGGGGAAGTCTCTGGGTGATGCCCTGAGCAGCCACCAAAACCATGGCTGAATCCGTGTCCCTGTTTTCTGCCCCCCAGTCCATGTGGAAGACGCAGCGCAGCACCGTCAAGGGCTATTTCCTGGCCGGAGGACAGATGGTCTGGTGGCCTGTGAGTATCTGTGTGGTCACCCTGCCTGTGCCCCTGGGCTGCAGCCACTCTGACCAGCACCTCTGCCCAAGCAGGGCTTGTTTGTCCAAACAGGACTAAACAAATAAACTAACTAAAAAAATTACTCCCATGTTTTGCAAAGACCCAGTTACACACTGGCCTTTTCCCCCACGTTTGAGGCTGGGGAGGTGGAGCTGATGCAGGGCGAGGGCCAGCCTGATGCCTGACAAAGCCTGGCTGCTCTGGAGAGTTCCACAATTAACTGGGGAGTCCCCATCATGAACAGAGCTTTGTGCTGAGCCAGTCTGCTGGCTGGGGTGTCTCATTTGGGCTGGTCCCTCACGATGTGCTGATACCAGAACCTGGCATTTCGACCTGTTCCCTCCACCTTCTGCTCTGCTCTCCTGCAAGAGATTAAGACGCTGTTTTGGAAGGAGCATGATCCTAAACATGCCCACAGATAGGCAGTGAAGGGTGAAAGAAGGTGATCAGAGGTGCCAGAGCCACTGAACCTGTAGGCAGAAGAAGAAGGTGTCAGAGGGTGACAAGGATTTAATTTCCTCCTGGTCATGAGTGGAGGAACAGCATCACTGTGCTCTCACCAGGCTGAGAACAACGCCCTGTGCCAGGACCAGACCTGATTTTCTGTGTTTCTCCAGGTGGGTGCATCCCTGTTTGCCAGCAATGTTGGAAGTGGCCACTTCATCGGCCTGGCTGGGTCGGGAGCTGCCTCAGGAATCGCTGCAACAGCCTACGAGTGGAATGTGAGTGTGCCGGGGGCTGGAGAGCCCTCCCCGTGCTGGACACGGGGACCCCAACAAGTCACCACACCAGGGCACGGCCCTGGCACCTCTGACACTCCAGATCCTGCTGCCCGAGCCTGAAGTCACCAGCTGTGGGGGAGATGAGTCCCTGTGTCCCTGCTGATCCTCCTGCTCAGAGCCTGGACCTGCTTCTCTGACCTCCCTTTCCCTTTGTTTGCAGGGAATGTTCTGTGTCCTGGTGCTTGCCTGGCTCTTCCTGCCCATCTACATCGCATCGGGGGTAGGTAGGGGAGTGCTGTGTCCATCTGCACTTTGTCTGCACCCCCTGTGTGCCTCAGGGGCTGCACCTCTCCAGCTGTGCCCGTGGCTCGTGGACTGAGCCATGGGGCACCTGGCTGCTCCAGTGCTGCTCCAGTGGCTGCTCCAGTGCTGCTCCTGTGGCTGCTCTAGTGCTGCTCCAGTGTCCAGGCTAACGGGCAGCAGAGCTGCTCCCTGGGGCCAGCACGGTGGGTTTGGGGGGTCAGACAGCTCTGTAACCCCTGGCAATGGGTAGAGTCACTGAATCTGCTGAGGAGGTGGATGGACACCCCCGTGTCATGGTTTATAGTGAGCCTTGTGCCAGACAAAGCCAGTGCTTGCTAAGCTGCTGTGCTGGCCTAAGTCAGCATCTGAGAGCCAAATACTAACCCAGGGAAGCTCTCAGGGCCCTGCTGGTCTTCTACGAGTGCAAACACCCACCCTTGGCAGCTCTGGGAATGACCGTGTCCCCCTCCCCTGAGCTGTGTCTCTCCACAGGTCACCACCATGCCCGAGTACTTGCGGAAACGTTTCGGAGGCAAAAGGATTCAGGTGTTCCTGGCCATTCTCTACTTGTTCATCTACATCTTCACCAAAATATCGGTAAGTAGAAAAAAAGGGAAATGGTTTGAATTTAATTCACTTTGGAAGCACGGGCTGAGCAGTGAGGCTGGGAAATGCAACCAGTGGCACTTCCCTGGGTGAACAGGGAATGCCCAAATGTCCAAATGCCCAAGGAAGAGACTGTAGTTGTTTTGAAAACCGGCACAAAAAAGAATTTCTTTTTTTGCCCATTAAGCACCTGAATGCCTGTGTCCTGAGAAACAGTTCAGGGAAAGGTGGAGCTGGGAGTGTGGATGAGGTTGTTGTTAGGTTTTGCTCATCCAGTTTCTCTCCTTTTGCCCATTTATTGCCTGTGCAGACACCAGGTGCTGTTTTTGAGGATGGAGAAGGATGTAGGAACTGGTCCAGGGTTAGGAGAAAAGTGTTCAGTGATTTATTGCACCTGTTTGAATAAATAACTGAATCAACTCTTGCACAACACCTTGGTGGCTGTTCATTAACAGCCCGACAGGGCACGGACCTGGGAAAATAGATCCCTGCTGGGGTTTTTCCTGCACAGAGGGGCCAAAGTGGGACATGGTGTGTGACCCTGCCTCTGACCCCCCTGAAACCTTTGACAAAGGGAAACGGCTTTAAACTGAAAGAGAGCAGGTTTAGATTAAATACTGGGAAGCAATCCTTCCCTGGGAGGGTGGTGAGGCCCTGGCACAGGTTGCCCACAGAAGCTGTGGCTTCCAGGACACATCCCTGGAAGTGTCCAAGGCCAGGTTGGACGGCTGGAGGAAGGCTCAGGTTCTCCTTTAGATAAAATTGGCTATTTGATGGAATCTCTGATAACACAATTCCTGTATTCAGGATGCTTTCACACCTGCCTGGGGTTGGTCCTCCTGGGGTTGGCAGTTTGCCTGTCCTAAACCCTGCTAAGCCACAGCATTTTCACGTAGCTGCAGAGCTGGTTGGTCAGGGCTGGGCCCAGCCCCGAGGACACTTTTCCTGGTGATCTCCCTGTCCCCACGGCAGCAGGGAGGAATTCTCAGATGGGTGCTGGGGCCCTGGCAGCTGAGCTGTGGGGGGAGTTTGCACCAGGTGCCCCAGCCCAGCCCAGCTCCCCCACCCTGCTCACTGGTGCTCGGGGGAAGAGATAAACTCACCCCACCCAAATGCCTTTGTCACAGGGAGCTGTGCACGCTCCCCTCCTTGTGACAGCCCCATCCTCCCCTCACTGTCACCCCTGTGACCAGTAATAATAACAAACTGGCTGAGGAGTGAACTGGTGGTGGGCAGGATGGCAGGAGCTGGGGCTGCAGGGGCCGTGCCGAGGGCAGCTGGGGGGTCACGGGCACTCCAAGCCAGACTGGTCCCAGCACAGGAGATGGCTTGGCCAGCTGAACGTCCCCACTCTGAAGGGCTTGGTGATGTCGTGACCACAGCTGTGCACTGCCCTCTCCCGCAGGTGGACATGTACGCCGGGGCCCTGTTCATCCAGCAGGCCCTGCACTGGGACCTGTACATCGCCGTGGCGGGGCTGCTCGCCATCACCGCCGTCTACACCGTGTCGGGTACGTGGCCAGAGAGCCTGCCCGGGCACTGAGACACCCCTGCAAGTGCCCAGGGCCAGGCTGGACGGGCCTTGGAGCAGCCTGGGATAGAGGAAGGTGCCCGTGGCAGGGGATGGAACTGGATGAGCTTTCAGGTCCTTCCCATCCCAACCCATTGCAGGATTCTGCGATTCATGCCATGCCCTGTGTCCCTGTGGTACAAGTCCTGCATCCCCTGCAGTCTGGTTCTGCCAGGAATATGGATACTGGGAGGGGGGGAAGCAATCATAAAACTCCCCTTTTTAGAAAAAATTGCCAGGTGAGAGTAAGTGACCCTCCCTCACAGGCCACCCTGGGTGGGGTCAGGTCAGCCCTGCTTTAAGGAGCAGCTCTCCCCCGTTGGAGGTGTTTGCAGGATGTTTCCCTCGGGCTCTCTGAAGGTGTGAGGGATTTACAGGACAATGAGCCGTGTAATGCCGAAAGACTCCAGGCTTGGATGCCCTTTCAGGGCTCGAGAGTGGCCAAATGGAAAACAGCCACGCACGGAGCAAGCAGAAATCCCAAACAAAGAAAGGTTATTGCTTTCCCAGTGCTCACCCCCAGTGATGTAAAATCACCCCCCCTTTCTTTCTTCTCCTCCTTTTGCAGCTTGGGCTTTGTTTTGGAGTTTTTCCATGTATTTCCTGTAGAATTATTTCTACTGGACTTCAGCTTTTAGTGACCAAGTGGTGACTCATGATGATTCAAACCACTAGAAATTCCAGCCAAAATGTCCTTGGCCAAACTGCCCCTCAGCAGAGGGAGAACCCCCTGGCCAGGCTCAGGGCTCAGCTTGTGCTGCTGGGCAAGAACATCTGCAAGTGTGAGCTGCTCCAACAGAACCAACCCAGTTTATCCCAGTGTGGTGCCTCTTGCTCTCCCAGGTGGCCTGGCAGCCGTGATCTACACCGATGCTCTGCAGACCCTCATCATGCTCATCGGGGCCTTGACTCTCATGGTCTTCAGTGAGTGCTTCCCTAGGGGTTTAGCACTAAAAACAGGATAAAAGCTTTACCAAGTTAAATAAGAGGGAGAATTCCTCCCCTATGAGGGTGGGCAGGCCCTGGCACAGGCTACCCAGAGAAGCTGTGGCTGCCCCATCCCTGGGAGTGTCCAAGGCCAGGTTGGATGGGGCTTGGAGAAGCCTGGGCTGGTGGAAGGTGTCCCTGCCCATGGCAGGGGGTGGCACTGGGTGACCACTTGTGTAACATTACCCATAGCCAGTTAGACACTGAAAGCAGAGTTCTGACCTGGGGAGATGCAATAACAGCTTCTCATGACCCATTTTAGGCTTTATTGAAGTTGGTGGCCTGGAAGGTTTGCAGACAAAATACTTCAACGCCATTCCCAGCATCCGCAAGGAGAACAGCAGTTGTGGCTTGCCCAGAGAAGATGCTTTTCACATCTTCAGAGACCCTGTTAACTCTGACCTTCCCTGGCCAGGAGTTTTGGTGGGAATGACCATCCCGTCCCTGTGGTACTGGTGCACAGACCAGGTGGGTCACTGCTTGTTTCTTTGGTTGGTTTCAAGGAAATGCTGTTGGTTGGTTGAGGCTGATTACAAACCTTGGGGTTGCACCATCTGGACTGATTTACTATTTCTTATGGGAATTTAGTAAAATCTGGTTGTTTCAATCCTAAAAATGCAAAATTTGGTATGCACAACTGAGTGTTGGGAGTCATCTCACCATAAAAAGGGTAAGAATGTGTTTGTGAGTCAGTCCCAGCCTATAAAGATTTTTTTGGTTGGTTTGTTTTTTAACTTGAATCTTTTACTCCTTGCAAACCACCTGTGAATTCCCCTTCATGACTTTCCAGGGACCTGTCTCCCATCTCTCCTAGTGACACCATCAGAGGCAGGAAGATGAAGCCCTAAGTCACCTTCTGATGTTCCTATTGTGTTTTCTTGCTCTTTTATTTAACTCACTCTGCTCGTTTCAGGCTCTGTCCTGCTGCTGCCTTGGCCAGTCTTATCCGTAGGGTCAGGAAAGTCCCCAGTGCAGGAAGAATAGAAAATTCTGAGTATGGGCAGCTGGGGATGAGGTTCTGCAGCACAGTGTCCTGCCAGGCTCAGCTGGGATGGCACAAGCAGTGCCTTTCAGGTCTGTGCTCCTGCAAGGTGCTCAGGATCCAAAACAACCGTAAAGCCAGAGCCAAGCTCTGTGATCACCCGTCTGGGACTTCCATAGTTCAGCGGAGATCAAAGTCGGGATCGCTCCATCCCAGCCATCTCCTCACTGCTGGCAGCCAACCAAACCCATTTCTTCATTCCTAGGTCATTGTTCAGAGGTCCCTTGCTGCCAAAAACCTCTCCCACGCCAAAGGAGGCTCCTTGATGACCTCCTACTTGAAGATTTTGCCCCTCTTTATGATGGTAATGCCAGGCATGATCAGCAGGGTTCTCTTCCCAGGTAAGTGCTGAGGGATCTGTTCCCTCTCTCTGGCTGTGCCTCCTCCACAGAGCTGGAGCAGGTGAATAAGCTGAGAGGTTCCAGTGCATCAGTTGCCCAATGTATGAAGAAATTTTCTTCCAGTTACAAGCTGGAGAATGCAGATCCTGCTATGGCAGCCCCAGACATCTCTGTGTTCAGATGGTCCTCTGCCATTTGCTGGAAGCTTCCCAAGCTCTCCAGTATTTTCCTTAAAAAAGCAGTTTACAACATTCAGCAGAGTAACATTTAGACACATGGTTTATTGTGGCTGGAGAATGCTGCCTCTCACTCCCCACTGCTTATTTCAGATCTGGTGGCTTGTGCAGATCCGGAAAATTGCCAAAAAATCTGTGGCAACCCGTCTGGCTGTTCCGATATCGCTTATCCCAAGCTGGTGTTAGAGCTTCTGCCTGTGGGTAAGAGCTGGTGCTGGCACTGGTGGGTTCTGTACACTCCAACCACAGGTGCCTGGGAGAGAAGTTCAGAGGGGAAAATACTCTGAAACTCATTTCAGTGGGATTTGTGTTGGGTTTGGTGGGACAGTGGCACAGAGCAGCAGGAAACAGGAGACATGGGGGATCCAGAGTCTCATTCAGTCAAATTTGGGTAAGAGATAAAGCACAGATGTTCAACAATGAGAATCAAGGGCTAAAACTTCCCTATGACTGTCATTTTAAAATTGGAGCCAAACCCACTTTTAAAAGTCTGTTCCATCTCATAGAAGACCTCAAGGTCACCCTGCAGTGGAGCTGCTGGGGGTCCCTCAGGGCAGCTCTACTTCTCCTTCTGTTTCCAGGACTCAGGGGCCTGATGATGTCAGTGATGATAGCAGCCCTCATGTCCTCCCTGACTTCCATCTTTAATAGTGCCAGCACCATTTTCACCATGGACCTCTGGAAACACTTCCGTCCGCGTTGCTCCGAGTGGGAGCTCATGATCGTCGGCAGGTACGGAGAGCTAGGGCGTGCATTTTGTCAGAGCCTGTCTGAGACACACCTCGGCACAGCCTGCTGGGGGAGCATCTTCACCCTGCAGGGCTGGGGGGAGGAGGAGAGCGGAGTTGTGAGTTCTGGTTCTGAGGCGCCTCAGTCAGAGCCTCGCACGCCGAGCAAGCGCGAAAGAACATCCCGCAGTGAAGATGCCCACAGTAAAGGCACCCCTGTCTTGCCCAGGGTCTTTGTGCTGCTGCTCACTGTGATCTCCATCCTGTGGATCCCCTTGGTGCAGGCTGGCCAGGGCGGGCAGCTCTTCATTTACATCCAGTCCATCAGCTCCTACCTGCAGCCGCCCGTGGCCATGGTGTTCATCCTGGGCTGCTTCTGGAAGAGAGCCAACGAGAAGGTAACAGCTCCACTGGAGCCTGGCCAGCCCCGGATCCGGGCTGGATGCCGCTCCTTGCTCCAGCACGGAATTCCCTTCCTTTGCAGGGCGCGTTCTGGGGGCTGGTGGTGGGGCTGCTGCTGGGCGTCGTTCGGCTGGTGCTGGACTTCGTGTACCCCGAGCCCCAGTGCGGCGAGGCCGACGCCCGGCCCGGCGTGGTGAAGTACATGCACTACCTGTACTTCTCCATGGTGCTGGCAGCCGTCTCCACGCTCACCGTGCTGCTCGTCAGCGTGGCCACCGAGCCCCCCGGCCCCGAAATGGTGCGTCCCCCCTCCCGCTTCCTTTGCTTACGTGGTTTCCAGGATGCCCCACGGCCCGTCCGTGGGAATAACGTGGGGACAAATAATCTGGACATGGAAGCTGCCATTCATCCTTTATTTATGACCACACTTGTAGCAGCAACCCCTCCTCTGCTCCAGCACCTCTGCTGCTGTTTCTGATTTGGGTCCCATAAATCCCACCCTGGAAACTGGTCAACAGCAGATGCTACCAAGAGCTGCTGTTCAAGCATGTGTGTTAAATCCATGACAAATTAGCCTTTTCCCCCTCTGTTTTCCAAGCAATTCCAGCTTCTGGGTCATCTTTACCAACTCTCTTACTCACTTAGTGAGGAACCATTTTTACTTGCAGAAAAGAGAAACCCAGGGCACAGAGCACAGCTCCTCTGAACCAGGTTTGTGCCAGTTTGACTATTTTCATTAGAGGTACTGAGGCTACAGAGAAACACTGAGAGCAGAAAGGAAGGGCAGGGGAGCTTCAGGGATCCTACAGCAGCACATCCTCTTGCTTCAAGACAGCACTAACCCAAAAGTCCTGGTGAACTCAGAAATCCCCCAAGAGGGGGATTTAAATCACACCCCTGAGGTGTGTGATCAGTCCAGAGCTCACCTGCCCTCCCTGTAGCAATTTTTCCTCATCTCCAACGTGAATCTTTCCAGCTTCATGTTGTGCTCATCCCTCTCTATCGACACTATTGCTGAGAACATCCCTCTTTAATGAGTCTTTTAGATATTTGAAGAAAACAATCCTACCCCTACCTGTCGTCTCCTCTCAACAACCCCAGTTCTTTGAGCCGTCCTTCCCTGGCCACAGTTTCCATTCTTTTTGCTCCTTCTTGACTCACTCTCAGGCTGCACCCAGGGAAGGGCCCACAGAGAGATGTCCCCTCAGTACAGAGCGAAGACTCATCGGTCTGAGGTGGAGCTGTCCCATTCCAGTCACCGCCACCCCAGCAGTTCCAGCTGAGCTCGGCTGTTCAGCTGCTCCTCAGAGCAGGGGGGCAGATCCCGGCCCCTCCACGTGTTCTCTCTGCAGGCGGCCCTGGGGCTCCCCCGAGCACCGTGACAGCAGTCTCTTTAACACCACTCTTCATGCCATCAGATAAGTCGGCTCACCTGGTTCACGCGAGGGGACCCTCCGCTCAAGCAAGACCTGGCAGTCAGCCCCGGCCCCGCCGCTGCCAGAGGAGCGAGCGACGCCGAGCGCCCCGCTCTCCAGCTTGAGCTAAACATTGCCTCTGACAGTAGTGCAGAGGAGAAGAAATGTAAGTGCTCCAGCGTGCTCAGTAACCCCACACCCAACAACCCGTGGCGTTCCCAGAGGCTTTGAAGACAAGAGACGCTAAAGCTCCTTCCTCTGGAATTCCGTAGGTTCAGGGCGTGCTGAAGGAATCATAGAATTAGAAATGACAGAATATCCTGAGTTGGAAGGGACCCATCAGCATCATCCAGTCCAACTCCTGGCCCTGCCCAGGACACCCCAACACTCCCCCCTGTCCCTCAGAGCGTTGCCCAAACCCTCCTGGAGCTCTGGCAGCCTTGGGGCTGTGCCCACTGCCCTGGGGAGCCTGTTCAGTGCCAACCACCCTCTGGGGAGGAATCTTCTCCTAAGATCCAACCTAAGCCTGCCCTGACACAGCTCCAGCTGTTCCCTGGGTGCTGTCACTGCTCACAGGGAGCAGAGATCGGAGCTGCCCCTTGGGAGGAAGCTGCAGACCCTGGTGAGGTCTGACCTCAGTCTCCTCCAGGTGGAGAAAGGCTTTACCTGACGTTTTACCTAAGCAGGAGTTTAGTTTCTTTTCCATCTTTTGATGGCATTACTTAAGCTGGAAGCCAAGGAGCTGGATGGGATACAGAGCCATGCCTGTTATCCCACCTCAGTGACTGGTGCCGTGGCACCTGCTGCCAGGAGAACTGGTTGGAACAGGGGAGGGTGGAACAACACCACAGTTATGTTGATGAAATTCCATTTCTGTTTTTCAGCGGTGTTTTCTGATCGGCTCTAGCAGCAGGGAGAACCCAGAGCCCTGGGCCGAGCTCTTGACAGATCAGTGAAGGAGGATTTGCATTTTTTAAAACTTGTACTTGTCGGTATTAGGTACAACCTTGTGCAGCCACTCACTGCATTCTCCAGTGATGATCTGCATATCCTGTTTTTGCCAGGCTTGGGCCCTGTTTATGTAACATTGCAGCTTTTGCAGAGTGTTCCTTTGATCCATAAAAAGTTATTGTCAGTTAATGAGTTAGGGCACAGCTCTCCCACTGATGGGAAGTCTTGAGTTTGCTGTGCACGAGCATTGCCTTTCCAGCACTTAGTCCTGCGTCCCAACCCACACCAGAGGTGGCAAAAATTCAGTTTACATGTGTGTGGCACGGAGAGCCCTCCCTGCACTAGAGCAGGGCCTTGCCTGGGGGGCTGCAGGGCACCGAGCAGCCAGAGCTCAGTTTTTAGGGTTGGTTTAAACCGTTGGGAACAGCAGAACCTGAGCTCAGAGCTCCAGGGAGGATGGAACAGGTACCACAGCCCCAAGAGACGATGCCTGAAGGACTCCCTACAGCTCAACGTAGCGAGAGTGTTCACTTGGACACTGCTGGTGCATTTCTGCATCAACACCCTTTGAACAGGAGCACACGGGACAGTCCTGGGGTTTGCTCTGTTGATGAGATTCATCCCTCACTCCTGACTCTCTTTTAGGTGCGACTGAGGCCAAAGGCAGCTCGAAGCTGATGAGCACCTTCCTGTGGCTCTGTGGGATGGAGCGCAGGCAGGAGAGCACTGAGAGCACAGCACCACCCAAACCTGAGCCCCTGCCCGTGGCTTCCCTGGAGGAGAAACCGCTGGTGAAACACATCCTCAATATCAACCTGCTCATCTGTCTGTGTGCTGGGGTCTTCCTCTGGGCATACTTTGCATAGCCAGGGTGATGCAAGTCCAGATGACATCAACTAATTTTTATTGGTGTAAATATTAATAACTAGCAGAGGGTTAATGTAATTCTTAATGCTTTCTAAATTTTATTTCTTTATTTAAGAAGACAGATCCTTCTTCCTAATCCCTTCCTTATTTCTAATGGGGGCCTGGCTTTGACCAGGGCTGAATGCTTGGCACCAGCACTGGCAGACCCCAAACAGCTGAGGAAGGTTTGGTTATTTTAAATATTTAAATTTGCTCTTTGGCCTTAGAGCAGTGCCTGGAATTCAGGAAGCCTGGATTCTTTTCCTATTTATGCCTCTATAACCAGCTACAACCACTTGGGCCCCCTCTGGTTCAGCCTCTCCAGCCTTGAGGGACGAGTGACACAGCTCCAAGTGCTCAGAGGAGAGGCCCAGGGCCTTGTCTGTGCTCTGTTCTATCTCCCTGGCTCAGCTGTGCCCGTTCAGCCTCCTCCCAGTGTGCACTGAGCGCTGAGGGGCCCAGCCTGGGAGCTCTTGCTGCGTTACCACTGCTTGTGCCTGACGGCGACACCAACACCAGCCCCTGGCATGGAAACCGCCCCAACACTGCCTGCAGGGCACTGAGGGACCTGGACCAGCCCAAACCTGGCAGGTGCTGCCAGGGCAGGGGTGCCAGCAGCAGCCCCTCATTGCCTGGGCCCCCCAGCTGTTCTGGGAGCAATTCAAGGGAGAACCCTTGGCCAGGAGCACCGAGCGCCTGTCCCGGCCCCTCCGTCGGGGACAGCCTGGGCGGGAGGGGGACGAGTCCCCTGCTCCCCCCCAGGGCCTTGTGTAGCTGCAGATAAACTTAATAAAGAGTGAGAGCTGCTCCCTGCCTGCCTGCCTGCAGTCTGTGGGATGGGGGCTCCTCTGGGCCTCGGGGGCTGCTTTAACAAGCAGCTGCTTGCAGTGTATTTGATGTCAACCTGCACATCAAGGAATAAAGGTATATGCATGCCCAGAGTGCTTCCACTGCAGTCCTCAAGGAAACCAAGCTGAGCAGCCAGTGACACTGAGCAGCAAAGCCCAGGGGATCACTGTGACCTTCAGGGCCCACTGGAAGCAACAAAACTAGGAAAAAGAAGCCTTAAGTTGACAAAAGACAATCTTTAATTTTATACATGTTCACCCAACTGCTGAATCCAAACAGCTGCTTCAAAGTTCTTCCAAAGTTCAACCGTTTGCAACAAAAGCACAAACCCCACTTCCACAGTTTCCTTGTGGAACAGTTGCCAGTTGCACATGAATAAAACCAGGTTAATACAAATAACTATGAAATCAGGATAACTACTGATCCTAAGTAGCAATGAAATTATTAAAGAGACAGAAAGTTCCTCCTACAGCACGACAGTCCTTCAAGGCACTGGATACATCCACAGTTTGACAGGGTGACTGATAACCAGCAGTCACCACCAGCACTCGGGCAGGGGTTGGTTCATGGTTTAAGAAGAATGTGCAGCAAATCCCAGAGGGAACGTCCCTTGCGAGGCAGCTCCTGGTACGGGCTAAGAACTACAAATAAAATCTAACCGTGACATTAAAAGGATTATTTCCATAATACATACATGCACTTTTAAATAACTAATGTTCTGCTTGCTTATTCTTTTGGAATTTCTGCTAATACCACCTGTATCAGCACTGATTACGCTTCCTAGGAGAGTTCCTGTAGGAATTCATTCCTTGCATCCAAGAGTTTGAAAACCCTTGTCGAGACACAGATCATCAAACTTCTTCTGAGCGGCTGAATCAGAGATTGGCCAAAGGTTGGTCTTTTCCACCTAAACGAGTCCGTAAATCACATCTCCCTGGTGCACCAGTCCTGCACCAGGCACAGTTCTGCCACACTGTCAGAAGAAGCTCTTCCCTGTTCGGTCTGAGGGTTTTCCCCCAGGAGAGGAAGGCCGGGAAGCCGCGGCGCTCCCGTCACAGCGCAGTGCTCTCCGTGTCGTTGTCAATGTCCAGCAGGAGGTGGTTGTGCAGGTCCCTGCTCGCCGGCTCCGCAGGAAGCTCTGAAGGAGGGTTTGGAAGTGGTTCTGGAATACTGGAATTGGAGTCTGCACAAAAAAGGGAACAGCAAGTTTAGCAGCTGGGACAGGGCCGGCTCATTCACTCGGGTATTCCTGGGCATTCCCTCAGACAGAGAAGGGAAAGGAAAGATCAACCAGGGCTCTTCAAACAGGGCTGGCACCCGTGTGTAGGTGGGCACTAAAGGTGAGCCACACTAAACAGCTTGGAGTTGCTTCTCCTACAGATCCTGGCTTAGTGCTGTAGCCCTCCCCTGTGTGTAACATGGTCTTTGCCACTCCTAAGGTGAGGAGAATTCTGTTCAAGCCAAGATGTCAAAGAAGGACCCCAAAATGCTGCATTTCTGGTGACTGACTACCCCAGGAGCTGGAATTATAAGACCAGAAAAATCCCTAAGAGTTCAAAGAAGATAACTGAAAATACTGTCAGTGTTTTGGAAAGCTGATTTATAATATGCCATGACATCCCTTACTGCAACCCAGCAGCTGTTCCAAACAGAAAGTAATTTAGATCACTTAAATCAATAAAGAATCCACATAAAGGCCTTATTTTCAAGCACAGGAGCACAGCCTCCCCTGCTCCTCTCAGCCCATCACAGCCTCACACCATCTGCAGGGATCTGTATTCCAGGATATTGTAATACAGCAGCTGGAATTCCATCGTGCTGTGGCCTGACACTGACCAGACAGTTACACCATAGAATCCCAGAAGAGTTTGGGTTGGAAGGATCTTAAAGACCATCCAGACCCACCCCTGCCATGGGCAGGGGCACCTCCCACTAGACCAGGGTGCTCCCAGTCCCGTCCAACCTGGCCTTGGACACTTCCAGGGACGGGGCAGCCACAGCTTCTCTTCCAACCCCAACCGTTCTGTGGTTCTGTGGCACAGGGAGGAGCGTTTGTGACACCCAAGGGTTCAGTGACATCTGGTTCAGAACGAGCCCCTGCACCAAACACCCCCTTTCCTAGGTTTGTGCACACGAGAAAGCACAGGGTGAGGGTGGCCAGTGAGACACCGAGAGCTGTGCACAGTCTGGTCTCCAGCACTTTTAGTAGGTTTAGTCAGAGCGAGCAGCAGCCACGCTCGGGCCATCCCCGCCCAGGGCACGAGCAAGCAGGTTACTGGTGACACGGGTTAGTAGTGGGGTTAGCACACACATGATTATCAATTAGCAACAGGGCCGGCCAATCAGGTGCCTTTTCCTTACCATTGAACTTGCCAATACAGTTCCTACTGAATGCTGGTCAAACATCTAGATTATTTAATAAAATTCTTGATTAGAATATTCTAGGGCTTATTCCCTCAACACCATAAATAGAATTTGAGGCACTGCTAATGTCCAGGACGTGGACAAAGGAATCAACAGTATACTGAGAACAATTCAGAATTCCTGTTCTGGTATTATTATGAAGTCTGCTGGCAACTTAATTTTGGCTTAATTTTGTTTCCTCGCTCTTTCAGGTTAAAATTAAAAACAGTGGCTGCACATTGTGAATTATGAGTCTATAAGTGCTTATATATGCAGGTGTAAATATTAGAGCAGATACTCTAATGTGACAGGCAGTGGTGTTAATTCAGAATATTAATCCTTTAAAAACTGATTGATCTGGAAAAGGTGGATGCTCCTGCACGGAGTGTCCTGCTGGAGGTGAGCCTGAGTATCACTTCAACTCTTCCCCAAGGGGTTTTTAGCAAAACTGACTGTATTCCTCAGCAACTTTCCTTTCCTGGAAAACTTTTTTTTTGTGTTTACAGTACACAACTTGGCCAATTTGCTATGGTTTGCACTTGAAAGGAGTGATATTAAGCTGTGCCCATCACTCCTCTCTGGCAGGTGAATGTCTTGCCCAACTCCAATTCCCCCACTAATGAAGCAGCCCCTGCACACCAGCTGGCTGGGATTTAGAAATTAATGATTCCTCCAGTTACACTTGGGTAAAACAAACCCTCTCTGTCTGTCATCATTAAAGCAATTTCCTCAGAACCAGGAAAACCCCAAAATGAAACCAAACACAGTCAAACTATGAAACACTCACACAAAAAGGTTGTTTCCTAAAGTTTGACTCGTCAGCACAGCTGCTGTTCTTTATTTAATAGTGTGTAAAAGTGTTGTCAAGATCCAGAGCCCAGCCTTACTTCTGAATTGAGCTTAGGATTTGTAATGTACTTAAATATACTGACAAAAACATCAGATGTACAATCAGGAAAAGTCAGTTACTTAAAAAGCAAAGCTACTTTTCAGTTACATAAAAGCAGCTTGTTTTACTGCTAATTTCATCATAGACTGGTTTGGGTTGGAAAAGACCTTAAAAGATCATTCAGTTCCACCTCCTGCCATGGGCAGGGTCACCTTCCACAATCCCAGGTTGCTCCAAACCCTGTCCAACCTGGCCCTGGACACTTCCAGGGATGGGGCAGCCACAGCTTCTCTGGGCAATCTGTTTCACCAATTAAAAAAAAAAAAAAAAAACCCGAAGTATTTCCAATTTGACTTCTCACTGCAGCCCTGATTGCAGTGTCCTTGCTGTAAAGAGTCAGATCTCGGGATGGTTTGGGAACACAGCCCTGCCTTTGCAGCCTGGCATGCAGTTGGTACCTCAGCAGGGCAGCAGCACATCCCTAACGCCTCCCAGCTGACAGTGAAGGTGGGGCTGGGGCTGAGCACAGGTGCTGTTAGTGAGGCTGGGGCTGCCCGGTGCAAATGCCAGTGTGTCACAGTGCAGATGCTGCTGGGGCTGCTCTGCATCAACGTGGATTTGGCCAAATAAATTCCAAGTGGTTGAAAGTAACTGCAAACCTAAAGTGAGACCTATATCAGAATGTAACCATAATCCACCAAACTGCAGGAAAAACA